CACGTTGTACCGTGACATTTTTAAACGATTTCACCATAATTCCACGTTTCCCAGCCTTCTGTTCGACTTCTTCCTTAACATCTCCAATTGTAATGATGTGTTTCAACTTCGGACACTGTTCAGCTTTCGCTAACAAAACTTCTACTTTGTTTTCATCGCACACGATCAGTGAAATATTGGCTACATGTTAATAACAAAAATCTACACTCGATATCACACAGAACTAACATTATTTTTAGCTGTGGTGAAATTTTCCCTTCTCGTTACCTAGCTGCTCTATATGCAATTGTGCCATTGGGCCCATATAATTTAGCAAGTACTGGCTAAGAGATAAACCATTTGTCTTAAATCACTTCGTATTTAAGGTTTAAATTACAGATGGCTTTGCCGGAAGACGGAAGCAGTGGAGTAGGCAGCCTCGTTAAGTGCGCTGGGACATATTAAAATGATCTAATATATAAATTGTCTGAGCTAATAACTCATATACATGTACTCGTAATATTAGTCTCATCGATAGCCAAAAACCCCAAAATTTTTCTTCTTTTTAAAGTTTTCTTAAATTTTTCTTAAAAGCCTATTAAGGACCTTAATCTCAATCAATACGGCCAACGGCGAACGGTAAACGGCTAATTTCAAGTCACGTTTTCAGGTAGTATTTTTGGTACTTTCTCTTGACCACTATTCGTCTTAATATAGTTACTTTCATGTCTGAAAATAACGCAAAAGATTTCCAGGCTTCAAAAACTTCGCATTTGTTGAAAAATTCCTGATGGATTTTGCGGTTTCCGATTAGAGGTTTGTCGTATATACACGCCAAGCTATACGGGCAGTTTTCAATTGTCGAGTTTTTATATATAAGTATAAATCCATATATATCTCATATTTGAAAAAGCTTGGTGAATACGTCGACAGAACTTAGTTTTCAGCATGTTTTAGTATGCAATTGTTAACCCGGCATGTGTTAAATAATAAAAATTTCGAAACATTTAAAATTTTTCCGCGCGTTAAAAAACGCCACAGTGGAAAACAGCCTAAAGGTTGAGTTTTGAGTTTTTCGAAGCATATAAACTAAATTCTAGAAGCAAATTTTGCAATATATGGTTGCCAGAGCAGTCAAAATGTATTTTCGTTAAGTAATCTACAAGAATATTATGATAGTTGCATGCTGTTGAAGAATAAAAAGCTTTGAAAATTCGCGCCGTGTTGCCAAATCGCGTCCTGTTTGTGTGGGCCTTAACGAGTGATATTTTGCTCAGGCACGTGTGCAACAGAGCTAATGACTTACAATGATTTATGATGAAGGTGCAGGCATCTGAACCCAGTGTGTCGTAGAGGGGTACAGACACCATTGAGTAGGTAAGACATGCCACATCTGCCAGTATCCACTAAAAAGAACGGACACTATATTGTATTTATTTCATTTTACCCATGCAATAGTCTCTTTCGTCTCTGAAGAACTCAAAGTCTGTGGCATAGTTAGCACAATCATTGGGGAGGGGGTACATATTCATATATTCATGTTCCGCAAGATCAATTTCTTCTCGAATCGACTGCCTTTACAGTCTGTTAACATGAATACATGAATATGTACCCCCTCCCCCGCAATTATCGTGGTTCATATGTCACTGATTAAATGACTTTCATATAATCTCCACAGCAAGTATTATTTTGGAACAATAACAGTTATAGCCAAATCAGGTTTTTTTTGAAAAATTTCCATTGGTCACCCTACAGGGTGTATAAAAAAAAGTAGACAATTGTTAAAATGTCCATAAACTGAAAATTTCGCAAAATGTCTGAAGAACGTGTGTTGATATAGGTATTTTAGGGTCTCTTGACCACTTTAACACTCAAATTAAATTAAAAAAAATTATATCGACGTGTAGGAATGATTATTTTCAAACACCACCTCAAACAACCCTTGCGCACAAAAATGGACAGTTTAAATCCTAATTCATTATCATAGGTTGAAAGTTTGGGTAATGTTTTATAAACTATCAAAGTTCCAGACAATTTGCTGTACATTAAATCCACCGGACGGCCTCTCGAACTTGGACTTTTTGCTATTTTTGGCCTTTCCCACATACTTTTTGCAGCTCACAAATGATTTCACGCATGATTAATGTAAAATATCAATAATGCATGAATTATTACCGCGTGAAACGAAAAGTATGTGGGAAAGGCCAAAAATAGCAAAAAGTCCAAGTTCGAGAGGCCGTCCGGCGGATTTAATGTACAGCAAATTGTCTGGAACTTTGATAGTTTATAAAACATTACTCAAACTTTCAACCTATGATAATGAATTAAGATTTAAACCGTCCATTTTTTTGCGCGAGGGTTGTTTTAGGTGGTGTTTGAAATAATCATTCCTACACGTCGATATATTTTTTTTTTTATCTAATTTGAGTGTTAAAGTAGTCAAGAGACCCTAAAATACCTATATCAACACACGTTCTTCAGACATTTTGCGAAATTTTCAGTTTATAGACATTTTAACAATTGTCTACTTTTTTTTGATACACCCTGTATAGGGATAGGTGTGTTGGCCCACAGATATCAACTTTAGCATACTTTATCGCCCTTTGAAAAATCAGCGCCCTTTATGTTAATTATAATATGTTTACCCAAGGGGTTTCTGAAACTAATTCAAACAAATTCTTTTAGTCAGCAAACAATTTCGAAACTAGTGCGAATTTTGTGAATTTCAGTAGCAAAAAAAACCTGAAATTGGTTTGAAGCTAACCTCAACTCCGTTTGCGGCATAAATGCCAACGAACGTCTCTGCGGAAGGCTGGTAACCGAGTTCCAATATTCCTGACCCCAAATCGGCGGCTCTATCTAAAACCTGAAATAAGTGTAATGAGATTTAGGGTAAATAATGTTTAAAAGATTATATAGCTATTTGTATATATACTTTTAAATTCGAAATTTTTTAATAGTCTTATTTGAAATAAATGGGATGAAATAAATGCTATAAAATAAGTGCGAATAATCATTCATGTAACACATCTCGCGTGGATATAAACTTCCGGGTCCTTCAACAGACCTGGCGCATTGCTTGCGTCAAAAACTCGGAGGAAATAAATATAATTTTATTTTGCCAATGCAGAGTAGTACACTCAATACCCCGTTGCCTAAGTTTTTTAATTTTTTATATATTCAACTTGCGCGTCAAAATGCAAAATTATGGAAATTTCAAAAATAGCTGAGAGGATACATTTTGCATTTTTGGAAATAATAAAAGATTTTAACTGCCTTTTTCTGCGACGTAATTTGAAACCTCAAACTATCTCAAAGATTATGATTTTTGGCACTTCACTCGATGCAGGTAAATTCTATGTCTGCCTTGAGTTTTTTTTAAAGCAGATCGAATCACGGGTTGTTCTGTAACGGACCAAATTGTTGTAATGTAGGAAACACTCGAAGTGGTTGCCATATCAAAATAATTTGCTGTGACAAGGTAACTAACAACGAAAGTGGCAGTGTGCAAATAACACTGAAATTATAATTCGGCTTGACACTTCCATGCACTACTTTATTGGAGTATTTAAATTAACTTTGTACAGCAAATTTTCCTGGCGAAAATTCAGTAAAAGTATCATTGTGTGTGCGTGTCGAGAAACAGTCGATTTAAACACTAAAAATAGTGAATGTAAGTGCCTTAGTTACACAAATTTCAACTTTTACATCAAGTTAATAATATTATACACTGTACAGCAAGGAATTTACGACCTAATGAACATTTATATTTATCTAATGAGAATCCTGATTGTTCGACGACAGGCACAGGCCTATTGTGTTCAGTATTTTCACTGCTTCTTTTCTCAACATTGTCTTCGTCCAAAAAAATATCACCGAGTCCACAATAGAAACGCTAAGGTTGAGCGTAATGACCCAAATAAAGAATGCCAAGTTTTCAAATTTGTCAAGGCTTTTAAAGACCGACTGAGTAGCCACAATAGGGAAAAGCCAAAGAGTGAAAAAACAAATTACTACCATGAAACAAGATTTGGCTTGTTTGATTTCCTGAAGAAGCACTTTTCGTCTTGTCGTGTTTCCCTCGGAAGAAGAATCATGTGTTCTTCTTTCCGAACGAGACAACCTTCTGACAACCACGTATATTCTCGTGTAAGAAAATACGACGAAGATTACATTAATTAATGTCATAGCAGATGCGAATATCCTGACATATCTGTCACCCAATGAAAAGGAGAAGACTGTAACCGCTGAATTCACGACAGCACTGGAACACACAAATTTCAGCAACCTTTTCTTTGTTACTAGGGTAGGGTACACACTAAAAACAGGTGTGTAGAATTACACACCAAGGTGTGTTTGACTACACACCAAGGTGTGCTCAATTGCACGCCATGGTGTGTAATTTGTGCACACCTTTCTACGCGCTTTTAGAAAGCACACCTTGGTGTGTAAGGAAACACACCTTTGTGTGTACGCAAACACACCTTCGTGTGTTCGAAAACACACCTTCGTGTGTTAGCGAAAACACATCCATTTGCACACCTTTTCTTTTACTCATTAAGGTGTGTAAAGTAACACACCTTTTCACTGAAAACACACCTTGGTGTGTTTGACAGCACACCTTGACCCATTAAAGAAACACATCTTTTGGTGTGTTATAAAACACACCTTTAAATTATTAACAATATACTTGATTGGCCTTATTTATTACTTATAGTATTTTAGTGCGTCGATAAAAGCGTCAGCCTTACGAGGAATTACTTGTGTAAGTCACAGGAAATTTCACGCTGTTCCATCGCATCTAAATTTAACTTTTTGCTTTAAATTCCTGTCATCTTTGGCCTGCGTTTCAGCTTTGATTAGTATTAAAAACTCTAAACATTACCTAAGACATAAATTTAAGGGAATTTACAGATCGTTGTGGTTTACTTTTGTAAGAATGATTAACGTGGGTTGTTTTTGAATATCTGCCATACAGACTTGTATATACAGGTCAGTGATATAATACGTCATACGCTTTTAACCAATAAGAATGTCGCGAGGTGTGAAACCCACGCGCACGAAATACAAACCACTGTTTAGTGTTTACATTTCCTTCTCTACTGTGACAACTGTGCTTCGAGTCTGTTTCAAGTTTAAATGATATGTTATTGTGAAGGCGATTTTAAGATTAATTTTTTGGAGATGAACACACGAGAGCTTGTGATGTTGTATAAAGAAGAAATTATAAGAGGGTAAGTTGTATTGCAGTGCTTTTCGAATCGTTTGTGTCAAACATTTGTATCAATTTCAATATGGCCAACGAGTGTAATCAATATGGTTGTCTCTATCTATTTGTAGCGAATAAATTGATGGTTCCGTTACAAACGATGCAAAGAAATTCAAGACTTCGAAGGTCCCGAATAGCTTGAAAGTGAAAAGTCTGAAAAGTCTGCTTCATTCTAATAATTCAGAGACCACCGAAGCGCATGGCGACGCGAACAGATTCGACATCACAAGAGAGACTTGGTGAGTCTTAATTACGTTCTATCTTCAAAATTTAATTGTTCTAGGTGCTTTTAAAAAGCAAATTTATACGTACATCGGTGTATGCATAAGGCTGTTTATGCTATAGTTTATGCTTGGTATAAAGAAAACATATATTTCGCTAGGTGTAATCTTGATGAATTGTTTTGTGTCTTAATTATGTTTAATATTTTGTGTTCCTTTTGGGGGTCAGTAACATTCCAAAGGACCAATTTTTTGTTCACTATATTTAACATATTAGATAGTTGATTTGACTTGAGTGTTCCAGAATGGTTTATGATTTTTAATACTATAGACTTGAGTACTTATCCTGAAAGATAGCAAATTATACATATTTAAATAAAATTTTCCCATTTTAAAGAAACTAATAATATGAAATGTGCCCAGACCCCAATTTTACAAATTTCAACAGAAGGTTATAATTCATGTATTTATAGCTGCCAATACATCCTAAATTATTTTACCAAAAATAAATCTTAACTCATAAATTGGGTATCATTTAGCATGTTCTATTTAAAATTAACAGATGCTTGTGCACATCTTAAATTGGAAAATTCTAAATGCCAGATCCTCTTATGCATTTATTTTATATTTTCAGGTGACCTTTGTTGATTATGAAGATCATGAATTAAGGCGATAATGTTATTGCAACAGTTGAGCAGGCACTATACACTCCAACAAACAAGAACAAGGGTGACCAACAAGACAAGAAAACACCACCAAGTGTCAAGTCGAGACACATCAAGTCAATAAACTGTTTATAGTAAGACATTATTTTAAACTAAACTGCATGCTTAAGATATTTATATAATTCATGCTGTGACTTAATGTTAACAATTCTTAACAGTATTAGAACTTAAAATATATTTATAAATTAATATTGTGTTTGTGTGTTTTCTAGCCCTGTTTATATGTTACTTTTAGGAAAGGTGTGCAACTTTTTACTTAAACAATTTGTGTGTTTTCCAGCACAGCTTTAGCTGTGTAATGAAACACACCATGGTGTGTATGAAAACACACCTTCTTTGAAAACACACCTTAGAACGTGTTAAAATTTGGACAAGCCAAAAACACATCTTTTGGTGTGTTTTTTGACACACCTTTTAGTGTGTTCTACACACCTTTTGGTGTGCACAAAAACACACCTTGCTATGTGTTAACACACCTTTGAAGATGCTATTTGCACACCTTATGGTGTGTTAAACACACCTTTAGGTGTGTTTCAAAACCTACCTTTAGGTGTGTTAAAATTTGGACAAAAAAGGTGTGTAAATTTAACACACCTTTTTTTAGTGTGTAAGCGTAGGGATGTAGGATAGCAATGTATCTTTCTGCTGTCATAGCAATGATTGTAACTACAGAAAACCCAATTAATAGAACTGTTCCTCTCAAAGTCAAAATTGCAAGCAAACAGTTCGGCATGTCATCAAATAGACTGATCATAAAGGTGATAAAAAGGGGTATTCCCAACACACCAACTGCCAAGTCAATCACGGATTGAATCAAAATGATGAAATAGCAAGGCTTGCTTCTCAGTTGCGACGATCTCCAGATCGTTATGATTGGAACAACGTTGAGAATTATCGCTGGGATAATCAAAATAATGTTAACAAGAATGGTGAAGATGTGATTGACTAGCATTTTTCCAAATGTAACTTTTGTTAGTTCTGAAAACGTCGTCCCAACAACGCTACATTCGATTCCATAAAATTTTTCTTCACCCGAAAGATTCATGTTGTTTTTCTCTTTCCTGAAGGAGCAGATGCGCGAAAGTGAAGTATTAAATAAAAGCCTTAATCAAGTCTACGCCCAAATAATTGTCATATTATAGTTTATCTTATATGTATTAATATAATGCCGGAACATGCCGGTATCATTATAAAATGTAATTTAGCAATAAATGTGGTATAGCAACTGCCTAAAATAGACGAGAACAACTTCTCGACGTTTGGACCTGAGGACCTTCGTCAGGAAACTTAGTTCATGCATATACTAACTCTCCTGACGAAGGCCTTCAGATCGAAACGTCGAGAAGTGTTTTAGTCTATTTTAGGCAGTTGTTATACCACATTTGATGTTAAGTTATTTGAAGACGCTGCCACGCTGCACCCTGGTTATATAAATGTACTATTATACATATATATTTTATCAGTAGCGTAGCCAGCCAGACAATTTTTCCCGTTAAGTTAATATTCTGACGTTCATTGACTATTATAAAACAATTAAGGCCCACGCAGACTGGACTGATCAGGTTTCGGAAGCATATAGAAATGAAACTCTGGAAGCAAGATTTGGAATCCGCAGACGCCAGAACAGTCATAAAGTATATTATCGTTACGTAATTTACAAGAATATCATGATATAGTTTATATATATTTGCTTTTGGAAAATACAAAACTTGGAAAAATCTCGCACTGTCTGTTTGGGCCTTTAGGCTCATTTTAAATCGAAATGAAATTGAGGCCGAATTTAATTGCAAATTTAAAATGCGATCCTGATTTTAGCCATTCGAATAAATGATTATTAGTTGCGCCAGGTGTTGGCATTGTGACTTATACTGTTTTTTTCAATATATTAGTTGCGCCGAATGCATGTTAGTGTTTTTTCAATATACAGAAACGTTGATCGAGAGAAATGTCTTAAAATGTTTATTTCGATGGAGATATGAAAAATTATCTTTATATATATAGGCTTTCAACTAATATTACGCGAAATAATAAAATGAATATTATTACTCTAAAATATATTGCCATTTGGAATGGCGACCTTGTGGGACAACACTTGGGACACTGTTGCACTTAGATGTAAAAAACGATGATCATGCACGAGAGTAATAAATTAGCAGTAGAAGCTTAATAATCTGCCGTACGAAAAAGCGTAAATGGACGGCGGTCAAGAAATATAATCATTTTAAATCCCAGTTCTTTTTAATGAGTTTCATTATACGTTTCTCCACGAAAACGATTTCACACGAATCAGTCGCTTTCGTCCATGAAGATCAAAACTAATCAACTGTCTTGAAAGGAACTTACAAAGCAAGTAAACTTACTTACAAAGCAAATTCTACTATGACCGTATGTTCTCATCTTTGCATGACTTTCAGGAACGTCTCAAATTCCTATGTCCAATTTTCGCATTTTTCGACGGGAAATTATTGGTTTTTTTGGAAGGTTTTTTTAAGCTGATAATGAATAACCTGGATTTTGTTATATTCGTTATGCCAAGGGCTTACCGAAATGCAACAAAGTGTAAGTAATTGCATGAACAAAGACACGCCGTCACATGCAAAAACAACAGCTTCAGGCTTCTGTTTAATAAACATCAAACGCTCACTTGCCGGGCTCAGTTAAAATTCGTTTGTTCTTTTTATTATTTTTCGTCGTCGCAAGTGTATTTTTGCGCGAAATACACTAGTATTTGAAAAAGTGTATGTGACCGTATTCAACGACGTAACAATTTTGTCTCCCAAGAGTTGTGGTGCACAGCTTAAAATCTTTGGCTAACTCTTTGATGCGCGATTCGATTTCGCTCGCATGATACTGCAATTCCCCTAAGAGGAACAAATAAACCGTTCTTTTCATGCTGTTCGATTAAGTTTAGATTGAATACATTTAATACATTTAGATTCTGGTCCTATTTTAATAATATCGCTGCTATTTCGCCGTTTAAGAAAATGTGGTCGTGTATGGGCACGTTGACACGTCGCAGTTTGTACAGGATTGAAGATTTAATATAACTATATAAGCGCGAAAAGGCAAAGTGTAAGACAAAGTGAACGTATCATTCTGTTTATTAACATTTTTGAACAATTGAGCTTCTATACTTTTAAAGTACGATGTGCTTTTGAATTTTGCGATCGAACAGCATTTAGGTTCGCAAGGCATCTAAATGAGTATGAACTGTATTGTTTATGTTCAGAAGCTTTATATTGAAGACTGCATGGTACGTGCGCGGCACGCCGGAGTTAACGCCAGAACAGGCGTCTTGTTACATCAACTTTGGTGGGAATTGCAGCATATTCTGCGGGCTAAAATAATAAGTTTGCCAGGCTGAAATCACTGAGATAGATCAAAGCCAATCAGAAGAATGACTGAAGTATTTATTCATTGCATATTTTTTTACAGTGCCTTACTTTAAGCACACCTTGTGTCTGCCAAGTTTACAGATTTTAATTTTTACATCAAGTTAATAATATATACAGCAAAGAAATTTACGATCTAATGAACATTTATATTTATCTAGTGAGAATCATGATTGTTCGACGGCAGGCACAGGCCTATATTGTGTTCAGTATTTTTACTGCTTCTTTTCTCAACATTTTCTTTGTCCAAAAATATATCACAGAGTCCACAATAGAAACGCTTAGGTTGAGCGTAATGACCCACATGAAGAATGCTAGGTTTTCAAATTTCTCAAGGCTTTTGAAGACCGACTGAATAGCCACAACAGGGAAAAGGTAGAGAGTGAAAAAACAAATTACTACCATGAAACAAGATTTAGCTTGTTTGATTTCCTGAAGAAGCACCTTTCTTCTTGTCGTGTTTCCCTCGGAAGAAGAATCATGTGCTCTTCTTTCCGAACGAGACAACCTTCTGACAACCACGTATATTCTTGTGTAAGCAAATACGATGAAGATTACATTAATTAATGTTATAGCAGATACATATATCCTGGCATATTTGCCATCTAATGAATAGGAAAAGACAGTAACAGCTGAATGCACGACAATACAGGAACACACAAATTTCAAAAGCCTTTTCTTTGTTACTAGAGTGGGGTAAGTGTAGGGATGTAGGATAGCAATGTATCTTTCTCCTGTCATAGCAATGATTGTAAATATAGAAAACTTCATTAAAACAGCTGTCACTCTCAAAGTCAAAATTGCAAATAAACAGTCCGACGTTTTATCCAATAGACTGATCAAAAAGGTGACAAAAAGAGGTATTCCCAACACACCAACTGCCAAGTCAATCACCGATTGCATCAAAATGATAAAATAACAAGGCTTGCTTCTCAGTGGAGACGATCTCCAGATGGTTATGATTGGAACAACGTTGAGAATTATCGCAGGAATAATCAAAATGATGTTAACAAGAATGGCGAAGATGTGATTGACTAGCATTTTTCCAAATGTAACTTTTCTTAGTTCTGAAAACGTCGTCCCAACAACGCTACATTCGATTCCAAAAAAATTTTCTTCACCCGAAAGATTCATGTTGTTTTTCTCTTTCCTGAAGGAGCAGATGCGGGAAAGTGAAGTATTAAATAAAAGCCTTAATCAAGTCAACGCCCATATAATTGCTATATTAGTTTATCCTATATGTATTAATATAATGTCGGTACATGCCGGTATCATTAAAGAAAGTAATTTAGCAATAAATGTGGTATAACAATTGCCTAAAATAGACAAGAACAACTTCTCGACGTTTCGACCTGAGGACCTTCGTCAGGAGAGTTAGTTCATATACTAACTCTCCTGACGAAGAAGGCGTTCAGATCAAAACGTCGAGAAGTGTTTTTGTCCATTTTAGGCAGTTGTCATACAACATTTGATGCTAAGTTATTTGAAGACGCTGCCACGCTGCACCCTGCATGTTATGTATAAAAAGTAGTATTATATACATATATATTTTATCAGCGGCGTAGCCAGCCAGACAATTTTTCCCGCAATGCTAATAATATGCATGATATAGTTTATATTTATTTGCTTTTGAAAAATAAATAAAAA